AAAGGCAGAGCCAGGACTTGAACTGAGGTAGCTGGGATCCAAATGGTGCAGTGAGGGTCTCACCTCCAGGAAGTCCAAAACCACAACATATTCAGCACGTGCTGAAGGCAAAGTAAGCAAGCCAAGTATCAAAAGTCTGAGTGACCATTTTGATGTAACTCATCCATTCCCCAGTTTTGCTCTCTTGCTGCATCTAGTGTTCAGCTTATGACCTGCAAGAATGTGTTCCCAGCACTGTTCTGCTGTGCAATGCATAGTTTCTCATGGCCCTTAGATCTTTGATGTACTGACAGTCGTGGTTAGTTGTGACTTCTGTCTTTCTTTTTTTTCTTTCTTTTTTATTCATTTATTCACATGTGCATACATTGTTTGGGTCATTTCTCCCAACTGTCCCCCGCCCCCACCTTATTCTCCCCACCCCCACTTGCTTCCAGGCAGAACCTGTTCTGCCCTTATCTCTAATTTTCTTGAAGAGAAGACATAATAATAAGAAAGACAAAGCGTTTTTGCTAGTTGAGTTAAGGATAGCTATGCAGAGAAATTCATAGCATTGCTTCTATGTACAAATGTGTTACAACCCAAGTTGATTCATCTCTAACTGATCTTTACACTGGTTCTTGATCCCCTTCTCATGTTGATCTCTGTCGCTTTAAGGTTTTTGTATTAGTTCATCTAGAGTGGGGACATCAAATGCTTTCATGTTTTGGGTTTTCTACCTATCCCCATACCTCCCATGTGTGCTCTCCTCTTGTCCTGTGACCCAAGTCCAACAACATTGCTGTATTTGCCCTAGATCTAAAGTCTGCATATGAGGGAGAACATACGATTTTTGGTCTTCTGAGCCTGGCTAACCTCGCTCAGAATGATGTTCTCCAGTTCAATCCCTTTACTTGCGAATGATAAGAATATTTAATTCTTCTTCATGGCTGAGCAAAATTCCATTGTGTATAAATACCACATTTTCTTGATCCATTCGTCAGTAGTGGATCATCTTGGCTGTTTCCATAATTTGGCTATTGTGAATAGTGCTGCAATAAACATGGGTGTGCAGGTGCCTCTGGAGTAACCTGTGTCATCCCAGGAGTGGGATTGCTGGATCATATGGCAGGTCTATGTTTAGATTTTTAAGAAGCCTCCAAATTTTTTTTTCCAGAGTGGTTGAGAACTCCTGACCAAGACTGGCCAGGAGTCCTGGGGTGTAGAAGCAGGGATCCTCCATCCAGGACCAGAGACAGTGTCCAGGTGAATGTGGAAGGAGGTCTTGCTCAGATAATGCAGGCATACTACTAGCTCTGGAACCAAAGGCTTGGTGTGGCTTTCTGTTTCTCGCCTGTCCCTCTTCACACCCCAACTCAAGGACTTGTGCATGCTAGGCAAGCACCCTACCACTTAAGAGCACCTTCCCCCTGCCATTTAAAGTTTGTTTTTGTGTCAGGCTCTTGGTAATTTTGCTCAGGTTGGCCTCAAACTCAAGATCTTCTTGCTTCTGCCTCCTGAGTAACTGAGATTACAGGCATTTACCACCACTTCTGGCCTTGGTCAGCCTTTGGGTGGGGCACCTCCTTCATCTACAGAACAGACTGCTCTCTGCCAACTCCAGGCATTTGTGTGTGCCCTTCCTGTGGCCTGGCATGTCCTCCAGCCCCATCCTCATCTTCTAGATCCTCCACGTTCCCTAAGGCCTGCACAAGTTCCTCTTCTTTGAGATTTCCTTTCCTGTCTCTAGTGTTGACACAGAATTTCCTCTTTATTTGTATTCTGTGATCAGTTCCATAGGAAGGAATCAGCTAACATAGAGAACCAGAAGTCTAGGCAAAGTTGTTTTACTGTGACACAAAAGCTGCGTGATGAAGACAAGTGTGGTGGTTACTACAGTTCCTTGTGGTGTGCTGCCTGCGTGCAGGCATTGTTGTACATCACTGAATTCCCACAGCGCCATTGTTCTCATTTATACTGGGCCATTGGAGGCCCAGAGAGGTTAAGTAGCCTACCAGAATCACACAGCCTTGGAATGCAGCCCACCTAGCTTTACATGATATGCAAAGTCCCCTACCTCCACCTCCCTACAGACTGAGTCTTCCCTATTTCTCTTCCCATGTTCCTCTCATGTTCTTTAATGACCTCCCCTGGAGCTCTGCTGGCAGAAAAATCCCCTAGTTTCGGGCCTGGCTCTGCCACTCGCCATCCTGAGACTGGTCTCTGGGCCTGCATCTCCTCCCTCTGGTAGAGTGCAGACCTCCTGAGCCACCGGCAGGTGTGGGATTTGGGAATTGGAGACCATGGCTGTTACTGTCTGTTCTCCTTTGCATTGGGAGGTTGTGTGGGGAGCAGGCTGGCGCTGGCTTCTAGGAAGGGCCAATGCCCTTCGAGTCCCCTTCATGTTCCCACTTCTAGAGTTGACCCAAAGCAGTGGGAGAGCTCTCTTCACCTCAGTTGGGACTAAAAGGTGTGATCTGGTTTTCCTTTTGCTCCTCCCTCTTGGGACTCTATCCCACCTCAAATACACCTGCCCCTAGCTTCTTCCCCTCAACTGTACAGCAGTAGGCCAAGGCCTCTGGGGTCTCTTCTCAGTGGACTCAGAAGAACAGATCCTTGTGCTCAACCAGGGGTACCTTTGTGCCCCGTGGAACATTTGGCAATGTCTAGAGACAGTGTTGGTTGTCACAAAGGGTTGAGGGTGTCAGTGGGTGGAGACCAGGGATCCTATAATGTGCAAGACGGCCCCTCAGAGAAATGTCACCAGGGCCAAGGTTGAGGATTCCTGACTAAGCCACCTGCTGTGGCCACTGTGAAGTGGGTAGATGGTTGCCTTGTGGCTAGTTGAGAAGTGCAATGGCCTTTGTCCTGGAAGCAGTCAGGGGTTAGTGGGGTGGGTGGGGGGGCTGTGCTGCTGTGGCCCTAGGGGCATAAGGAGCACCGTGGGTTTGCCAACTGCCCAGTGTTGGTGTGGAGGACGACGGGGACGTCCTACCCACAATTGCAGCATGTCGAGGACAAGGCTTTTTGTTCCTCTAGGCATTCAATGAATGTCTGCCTAGAGTCAGTTTGGCTTTAACAGGCCTTTTCTTTGTTACCCAGCAATGTGGATTTTTGTGAGTGTTGACATCCAAAAGTGAGTGATAGAAAAATCATGAAACAGAGTCACAGATCAGGCAAGGACATTGCTCTCCAAGAGAATGTCCCTGAGCACTAACTCGGGGTGCAGATCCCAGGATGTGCCTGGCCAAGGTGGCCGGCATGAGTGTGCTGATACCAGGAAGGGCTGCCTGTGCTCTGTCCACACTGCCACCTTCCCAGGATAGCTGAAAGTGGGAGTGGCCTGAGCAGGGAGCATCAGCCCAGCCCCTGGGCAGGTGGAGGGACAGGTACAAGGAGATGGGCTGGGTGGCTGCCACCTCTGAACTAGGGCACTGTGAGCACCTGTCCCCTGCTGACCGGGACTGCTGAGGTGCCGCTAACACCACTGCACAGATCTGTCTTCGGCCTGGCTGCTCAGGTTTGCATCTCGGTTGTCTGTCGTTCTCTGCGGGCAGCAGGAACGTGACTCCAGGTTTGGGGCTTATCTCCAGTGGGTGGGGGTCTAGTGTCATCGTATATCACAAGGTCATGGGCGCCGTTGGCAGCCACGTCAGTCTTCATCGAGGGCCCAGTCACCATGTCCCAGGGCCACTCTTGCCCACCTCATTTGGCTCAGGCCCTCGAGAAGCACTTTAATCCTAGGGATCTGAGAGTCTAATTTGACTCTGGTGAGTCTGCCTTGCTGAAAGCTCCTCCACCTCTCTGCCTTCCCTCAGGATAAGGTTTGGATCTTTAACAGAATTTCTCGGAACCTTTGTAATCTGCACGACAGCCTCACTGAACAGTGGTCACGTGCATCTTGTGTCCATGTAGTGACCTCCTACCCACCCGTCCAAGCCCAGCTCATTTGGTCCCACTTTCTCCCTTCTCTGCCATGCTGCCTTCTCAGCACCGTGCAGGCACCTGTTCTCTATTTCTTGTCCAGAGCTGCTGCTCCCACTCCGTGGACCTCCTCAAGAAGAAGAAACAGGGACAGGCGTCTCCTCTCTTCCATGGTGTCACTCTTCTTTTTTTTTGGATAAAAGACTCTTTATTTTTACTTACATAAGCAGTGTACAAATGTGTTAGCATTATAAAATGTGTTCTTTTCATCTATTTCCTTTTCTATCATCTTTATTTCTTATTGTCATTTTAATCTCACTTTCATAGATATTATTTTCTTAAATATATCTATATATCTATATCTATATCTATATCTACCTATAGAAACATGGTATTATTGAAGCAGGCCAAAAAAATAGAAAAAAAGTGAAGCTGTTGGGACTCCCAGGTTGGCATCACTCTTATTAAGATGGAATTGAAGGATGAAACTAACATTTGTTGGCCATCTTTTATCTTAGCTTCTTGACTTTGAACTTGACCTAAATATTTCGTCTAGTCCTCACAACCCTGAAAGGTGAGGTTGGTCGTTTCTGGTGGTGAATAAGAGATGAGTCCTGTGGGAAAACATATTGCCCCGTGTCATAGCAGCTGATACTTCTGGGCCCCTGCGTGGGCCAGGCACCATCCTCAGAGCACTCTGTGTGAGCTCACATCGTCTTTGCAGCAGGCCCATGATGAGGAAGCAGGTCTAGGAGGACCCAAGGTCATAGAGCCGGGGAGCAGGAGTCAGGCTTTGAACTCTGCAGTCTAGCTTCAGGCTGTTTGGAAGACCTGTGATTTGAACCCAGACTCACATAGGGAGAGTTGAGTCCCAGGAAGGCTGTGGAGCCTTGCAGTGTTGTACGGGGTCCCTGAGCGTGGGGAGGGTCCGGTGCTTCATGTGGCTTGGTGCTGCAGGGAGGCTTCCTGTGTGCAGCGTGTGCTCCTCAGCTCCTGCCTATCTTGGGCCCTGCCAGCTGTGGGCCTGCTGGGCAGGGCTACCTGGTGCTGGTCCTGAGTGGCCCGTGGTCTGTGGCTGACCTTGTCCCCCTCTGTTCCAGGGCACTGCCAGGGGGACGGCTACCGCATCGGCTTTGGCCAGTGTGCCGGGAAAGTACTGCCTGCCCTCTCGCCAGCATGAGGCGCTCTGGTCGCAGGGGAACCGTGGACCCCCACCCACCTGTGACCTGCCAGGGCCTGATGGTCATTCATGCAGCATCCAATAAAGCCACCCTGCTCCTCGTCCTCGCCGAGGCTGGCAGTGCTCAGCAAGCTCACCAGTGTCCCTGTGTCCTTGGTGTGGTCTATAGGGGTGGAGCAGAGGGGGAGGGAGGCATTCATTGATTCTTCCTCTTTGTGTGAGTGAGGCTGCATGTCTGGGTGGAGATTCTCATCAGACATCCTGGTATTCCCTGGATTAGAGAGTCGACCCAGCAGGGAGGGAGGGAGGGAGGTGTGTGTGTGTGTGTGTGTGTGTGTGTGTGTGTGTGTGTGTGTGTGTGTGTGTGTGTGTGTTGTAGGCAGGGAGAGAGAGAGTGTGTGTGTAGGCAGGGAGAGAGAGAGAGAGACTCTTACTTTAATGAATTGGCTCTGGGATTGTGGTGGCTGTAAGTCTGGAATCTGCAGGGTGGTTTGGCTGGCAAAATCCCCTCTTTCCCCTGAGGAATTCAGTATTTTCCTCTTAAGGTCTTCAACTGATTAATGGAGGCCCATAAATCTCATCTAAAAATATTTTCATGGAAACATCTAGAATAGTGTTTGAGCACATATTAGGGTATGTATATGAAAGTTGCTCATCCTAGCATGCTACATATCCAGTGTTTTGGGGGCTGGCTGATAGGCACACATGGGGGACAGACTTTGTTCAAACGCCCTGTGGCTATCCTCATGTTATAAACCTTGGCGCCATTGCAGGTTAATGCCTGAACTGTGACAAGGGCAGGCAGGATCCAGAGGGCTCATTTTCCTCCTCTTTAAGTCTTCCAGAGTCAGGAGGGAGCCCTGCCCCACCTCCTCTGGCCCCCACCCATTCTCCCGGGGCCTGAGTGACCACAGGGGAGAGGGTTCCTGGTGATCCTTTTTAGACCTAATAATGTCCTTCACTCCCCAGCCCCCAGTCTGGGAGGACAAGTGAGGGGCAGGGCCTGCCTGTCACACCACTCCTTTGTTGATTCAGCAGGTGTTCACTGAACGCCTCTGCATGTCTGTCTCTGTTCTGGGGACAGGAGGCACAGCAGTGAGCAGAAGGGCCTGGCCCCTTCCCTCAGGAGCCCCTGTTCTAATGAGGAAGACAGACAGGGAACAGAATGGAGCGTGATGGACAGTGACAGGTGCTGTGGAACTTGGGCTTTGGACGCTGTTGTAAACTTGGCGGCCTGTGGGCCAAGGTTTATAACACAGCCACTTCACTGCCTGTTCTACCAGAGCCAAGGGACGACGCGAGGGAACAAGCCAGGTGGGTATCTGGGGCAGAATGCTGCAGAGGGACCAGCCAGCACGGGGTGGAGGAGGACCCTGCTTAGCGTGTCTGAGGAACACCAGGGAGCTCAGGTTTCTCCCTCATCTAAAAGTAGTCAGGGGCAGACTACTCCCTTACCAACTCCTGCCTCCAGGTGCCATTAATCAGCCTCAGCTCTTGGTTTTCAGCTACAAGAGCACCTCCTGGTACAAAATGGCTGCTGGAACTCCGGCCAGTCTACCCAAGTTTCAGGTCAGCCAAACGAGATAACAAAGACGTGATGTGAATTAAGAAGTCCAGAACCGGGGCCCAGCAGTTATGCTATAAGAAGCGGTCCTATGCACGCTAAAGTCTGAAAGGCACTGCACTAGAAAAGCAGTGAGCCTAATTGGAGATGTTCACCTCTGCCTGTCAGAGACGGGAACACTTTAAATGCGTGATCTCTGAGATTGGCCACTTCCGTCGCATTACATAGGAGCCTGGGCGTCTTGACAGCTCTCGGAACGTCACAAGTGGCTGTTACACTGGTGACCTAAGTGGAGCCAACAAGACTGGTGATGACGCACGCCGGCCAGGGAGAGAGCACCTTGCGGAAGTGGTCTCTCGGTCCTAGCAGTCTGGGGTGTCTGGACGTCTGAGGCACGTGAGGAGTGATGGCAGTGTGTTTCAGGTGCATCTGCTGGGTGTGCATGAAGGAAATGCAGCCCAGGGGAGTAACGGGCTCAGGACCAGCCCGGGCTGTGACGAAGCCACCCGGCCATGTGGGCCTGAAGATCGGAGGCCCTGGCGGTATTGGAAGTGCACGTTGGCAGATGGGGGTGCTGTCTGGGGCCCCTAATGGTCCCCACTGAGACAGAGTGCTGACCTAGGTACAGGGTTGGCAGAGGAGCCCGAGGCAGTCCTGGGACATTGTTGAAGGGGCCCCAAGTGTCAGGACATTCTCATGCCACCTGATCGCCCAGCAAAGGGTCTTCGCTGTGGAAGCTACTCAAGGGCTCAGCAGCCCGGCCTGTCCTGGCTCAGGCTTGTCACTTCCCTTCTCTTCTGGACCTGCAGCTGCCCGTACACAGGGCGTGACATGCCATTCCCGCCCTTCCCTGCAGAGCATGGCAGGACACAGGCCGTAACAGAAGAGCCCTCCCTCTGTGGGGGGCGGCAGGAGTAGATGCATGCCTGGTTCCGGTGTGCCACCACCGTCTGCGCTGTTTCAGTCTGGCCCAGGCCACTTGTGCAGCTGTCACAGAACACCGCCGGCTGGGGAGTGTCAAATGAACAGAAATTGTCCGGTTGTGATTAGGAGGCTGGGAAGTCCAAGCTGTAGGGGCGAGGGTCTGGAGGTCGTCTTCCTACATGAAAACATGGCAGAGAGCATCACACACTCTGCGTGTGTGTCTGTGTGTGTGACATAGAGAGAGAGAGAGGAGACAGAGGAGAGAGAGAAGGGAGAGAGTCCAAACTCCCCCGCTTAAGGGATCCCACGCCTCTGATTACAGCATTAATCCATTCACTGCTCCCATGGCCTGGTCACCTCTCATTAGGCCCCCCTCCCAGCACTGTCTCTTTGGGGAGCAAGTTTCTGACTTGTGAACTTGGGGGGGGGTGGCATATTCAAACTGTGCACATTCATCCCAGTGAGTCTTGCAGATGTGACCCTTAACCAAGGCAGTGAGCTGTGAGGTGCAGCCCTGTCCACACACCCAGCAGGTGCACCCCAGTACCACACCCCTCACCCCCAGAGGCAGCTGGCCTGACTAAAATTTGGAATGTTCTTTCCAAGGCCCAGTCACTGTGGGTGACCTACAGGAAGCAGTATCAATAACAATATTTACCTTTGTTTTCATTTTGTTTATTTTTTTAAAAACACATAAAATTGTACATTAAGTGGGGTGTTATGTGATGTTTTGATACATGTATCTGTCATGCTATGTTCAAATCTAGATAAGCATATTTATTTCCTCAGACATTTATCCTTCTTTGTGGTAAAAAATATTCAAAATCCTTCCTTCTAACTTCTTTGACATATACAATGCATTATCGTGATTTGTGTTCAACTTCCTGCACAGCAGCACACCAGAAACTCATCTCTGTTGTCTAACCTGTAACCTTTTCCCTCCTTCCCCAGACTCTGCTGACCACTTTTCTACTGTCAACTTCTGTGACTTCAGTTTTTTTAGATATGAGTGAGATCAGATGGTATTTGTCTTTCTGTGCCTGGCTTATTTCACTTAACATACTGAGCTCTATTTCCACCCATGTTGCTGCAAATGACAGAATTTTATCCTTTTTCATGGCCGAGTAATATGCCATTGTATATGTGTACCACATCTTTTTATTCATTCATCCATTGATGGACACCTAGGTTGATTCCATTTCTTGAAATCATTGTTCACTGTGAATATGCTGCAATCAGTATGGGACTGCAGGTGTCTCTTTGAAATACTGATTTCATTTCCTTTGAATACATACCCAGTATAGGATCATACTTTTTCAGTTTTTTTGAGGATCCTCCATATTGTTTTTAATGGCTATACTAATTTACCTTCCTGTCAATAGTGTATAAAGGTTGTTTCCCTTCACTTCTGTGAGGAGATCATATTTATCTCAAACCAGACCAACATGTGTGCCATCTATCCCCTCAGCTAATGGCCCTCGTCTGGGAACCAAGGGATGGAAGGTAGGTGAGCCTCTTATTATTGTGCCTCATAACCTTTCAGGAATTTTGTTTCCCATCCTTATAACCTTAGGTTTGGTGGGTTTGGAAATCCTCAGTGATCAAGAAGAAATTCTTTCACCAGGGAGCATAGATATGGGTCTATTAAAATAATCCTGTGCCTTTTGGGGCTTGTTTGTCAAGCCAGTGAACAGGGAAAGGGGACTGTCAGAAGGACTTACCCTGTACCCAGGGGTTGCTTTCACACCATGGAGGCAAAAAGGACTGACCTCAGAACCCAGGGATATACTGGGACACTGGGGACCCTGATCCCACATCCCTGTTGTGGATGTCTAGTATGTGAGCGTGGACGTTGATTTCACAAGTGCCGCAGAGACGCTGGTGCTGCCCATCCTTGGACCACAGTTGGATGGCACCACCTGGAGCACCTGCTCTTCTTCCTCGAGAGGTCTGCCATGACAGAGAGGTGAAGCTGAGACCTCCACTGCTCCTTCATGTCCTTTGGGAACGTGGAAACTCAATAAAGACAAGGCATCAAGAGTTTGGGTCCAAGCTGGGTGCCGGTGACTCACACTGTAATCCCAGCTACTTTGGGGGCAGAGATCAGGGAATAGTGGTTCAAGGCCAACCCAGGCAAATAGTTCTCAAGACACTATCTCAAAGATACTCAAAAAGGGCTGGCGGAGTGGCTCAAGTGGTAGAGAATTTGGATCCTCGCTATGAAAACTTGGGACATTTCACTGGGTAGAATGCTCTAATAGCCACGAAGCCTAGAAGATAGGGGCTGTAGGATGGGAGGAGAAAGAGTAAGACTGTGGTCACCACCCTAGGTCTCGTGGCCACTAAGGAAGGGCCACTTTAGCAGCTCTGTGGTGTCACAGTCACTGAACTGACTCACCTAGGGTGGCTACCTTACAGTTTATGTTCTAGATGGGAGTGGGATGAAATTGATACCACCCCAGACAATGGTGACAGAGGGGATTTTACGTTTCCTTTATGCTGGGGACATTCCACCCCCCCCCCCAATCTAAGCAAACTACATGAATGGATGCTGAGTGACAGTTGGGTGATTACGCTGGCCACTTTTCACTTTCTCCAGTGTGCTGAAACGGATGGACCTCATTACCCAGCATC